CTCCGGTCTAACTTGATTAGGAGAGAGTGACAACATAGGGAGGAAGGAGGAGGGACAGATAGAGTGATAGTGATAGGAAGGGAGACAAGGATATGATGAAAGATACAATGACAGAAAGAAAAATGAGAGGGAGCGAGGGAGGGAGGAAGGGAGAGAGAGGGAGAGAGAGAAAGAGAAGAGAGCACAAGGGCAAAGCCAAAGGTAAACTGCATTACAATGGACAGCTGCAAACTAAAGAAAGAAAGGGACGGCATTGCTGAAGGATGAATTATAAATGTTAGGAAATGGTGAAATAAATAGGAGGGGACGGCAGAAAGTGGTCCGCTCCATTATTCATAGGTCGCATTCCTTTTTCTCTTTTTGCTTTCCCTCACTTCTAAACCTGCTTTTCCCAACACGCTCTTCTCTCAACTGATCTCATATCACACAGTTTGTTTTCTAATGCCACACCACGCAGCGGCGGTTTTGTGTTTATTTGTGGTTATGTCTTCAGCAGTGACTGAATAACTGCATTTGGCCTTGATTACACAGTGTTTTTGTACAGTGTTTTGTTGATTTTCCAAATGACCTATTTAGGCATGATTAATATTTAGTCATTGGAATTGGGCTGTGTTTGAGCATCCTATGGAAAAACTGTTGAGTCTGAAACACTATTAAAAAATAAAGGTTCCCAAAATGCCTCTTGCTCGGACGTGCAGCTCTAGGAAAAACCTTAAGGGTGATTTTTCAACATTTCTGCATAATTCAGTTGTTGAGATGTGAACAACGTCAGTCAGAGTGGTTTGATGCGAAATGGTGCATTTGTAGAGAAACTTACTGACCCACTTCTTTACAGTGGTGGGGACAGGAACCAGGGGTCACACGTCTACAATGCAATTATAGTCATTTTATTTACAATCAAAAATGTCCAGTGAACCTACACAACATCAGAGTTTTTATATGTAATGCTGGTAATGCTAAAATAGTGCTATGTATAAAAAATTTGTTTTCCTCTGAGACTATTTAGTATTTTGCCTTACAACATCCTGCATGTATCCCTCCATCACGAAAGGATTTTGCTTGTTTTATCCTTTTGTTCCTTCTTAAATAGTTTTGCAAACATGAAAATATCTTGATTGCATTTATTTAAAGTGGCCACAGTTAATTTCCGCACGTAGGTACACTGGGTTAAGGTAAATTCATCTAAATAAAAGAAAACAGAAAATGTCATGGGTCTTAAGAAAACAGCTAAAGACTAGCTAAAAGTCTAAAACCTAACTAAAGTTTGTTTATTTGAGCTTTGCAGAGAAACTTACTGACTTACATTTCTGGTTGTGATTGGAACCAGGAGTCGTGATGGCTACAACACAAATAAAAAAAAAATTACCATTTCATTTACTATCCAAAATGGCCTTCTTCTGAGGTTTTATATGTAATGTTGATGACAGTAAAATAGTGGTATACCTGAAAAAAATATGTTTTCTTTGCAGAATATCTTGCAGTAACACACTGCATGTGCCTGTCCTCCAGGAATGGATTTCCAAAAATATGTTCCATTTGGTCCAAAGCCTGAAATCAAAACTATTGTAAAATGTCTCAGGCATCGGGAAACATATTCGTAACCATTTCATGTAATAGCTTTCGGTGAGGGAGCTTCTAGAGGCATTAAATTGGTCAGCGGTCTGGTTCCTGTCTCAGCCGTCTGGTTCTCTAGAATCTCAGTTTTCACATCAAACCACGCTGAATGACTTAATGATTGAATTTTGCAGAAAATCAGTGTAATTTGCTTTTCACTGGTAAAGAACCTTTACATACATCCTTTCAGTTTTAAAAAGGTTCTGCACACTCAAAAATCTCATTTACAGGAATGGTCCTTAAAATGGTTCTTCTAAGACATTGCTTCCAAGAACCCTTTATGGCACCTCAATTTTTAACCCCTTAAATAGCCAGGGCCCATTTACACACTTCTATAACCTAAGAATAGCCCAGCCAGTTTGCACTGAAGTCTCTGTAGTTACTGAATAATAAGCCTTAGCTTATTATCCTGAGCTTAGGGAACTATCTATATAATCTGTCTATCTATAACTATCCCTATAACTTAGGGAACACTGAGTTGTACAAGTTTATGGTTAAGGACATGGTTTAATCAATACCAGCTGACATTTTCAGTTAGAGAGTCAGTACATCCCCTTTGGCCCTGAGGGCATCTGTGCTGGTAGAACTTTTTGTGGTAAAACTGAAGTGACTTGGTGTATGTTATGGCATATAATGGTAGTCTATAAACCATACACCAATCAGCCATAACAATAAAACCACCTCTTTGTCTCTACACTCATTGTCCATTTTATCAGCTCTACTCATCATATAGGTGCACTGTATAGTTCTACAATGTAATCCATCTGTTTCTCAGCATATTTTGTTAGCCCCCTTTTAACTCTGTTCTTCAGTGGTCAGGACCCCCACAGGATCACCTCAGATCAGGCATTATTTGTATGGTGGATCATTCTCAGCACTGGCCACTGCTGTGGTAGTGGCATTAGTGTGTGTTGTGCTGGTACAAGTGGATCAGACACAGCAGTGCTGCTGGAGTTTTTAAACACTGTCCACTCACTGTCCACTCTGTTATACACTCCTACCTTGTTGGTTCACCTTGTAAATGTAAAGTGAGAGACAGTAGCTCATCTGTTGCTGCACAGCTTGTTAGTCATCCTGTAGTCCTTCATCAGTGGTCACAGGACGCTGCCCACAGGATGCTGTTGGCTGGATATTTTTGATTGGTGGACTAATCTCGGTCCAGCAGTCACACTGAGGTGTTTAAAAACTCCAGCAGCACTGCAGTCTGTAATTGTAGAACTACAAAGTGAACCTATATGGTAAATGGAGCTGATAAAATGGACAATGAGCGCAGAAACAAGGAGGTGGTTTTAATGTTACGGCTGATCAGTGCATTATATGTGCATGAAACATGACACTGAGGTAAACAGCCAAGGTTATGGCACGGTCAGTTAGCAGCTTACTAACAGTGCCATAACACTGTCAGATTGTAGTGCAGTTTCTCTTTATTTGTCTAACATATCAAATGAACAGTAATTAGGTATTAAAATGTGCAGATGTGCGTTCTCTGTTGGGGATGTGTTAACTAAATCAACAAAACATGTCATTTGACCAGGGGCGCCCACGGTGCTGCATACAACTCTACAAGTAATCTTAGGTAAACAGCCACGGTTAATGACACTGCAGTTTAGGAACATTGACTTGTGCACAGTGCATGCTACTGAGAGATTTGTGGAGTTACCACAGGGTGTAGGGCCTTAGAGAACACCAATGAGAGAATGCTTCAAAAAGAGACAGATGACAAACATGGGGAGGAGTCATCAACATGGCAGCTAATACACAAGATAATGAATTATAGAGCTGTCCTAAGGCCACAGAGAGAGAGAGAGAGAGAGAGAGAGAGAGAGAGAGAGAGAGAGAAGAAAACTGTTCCCTGTGTTTCTGGTGAAAAATGGAGGCTGACTCGTCCTCTTGGCCATTGTCATAATGAGAATGGCGGAGCGAGGAGGAGAGTCAGTCATTTTGCTTGTGTCCCTGCTGGAAGGGATGCAGTCTGAATATGCCTCATTGGACTAAGTGCATTGGCAAAATGCCACTGAGAAACACATTAATTAATTTTGTGAGTGTGTGCGTTGCTGTGTATTTAGCACTGTATGGGGACCGAATATTTTAAGAGTGAGGGGAAAGCATGGCAGTTCTAACACTGCACTTATAGTTGGATAATTCCCACAAATAAAAATGGCTATTTAACCAAAAATGCAGTTTTATTTGAAAAAGTAAAACAGAAAAATAATTCATTTCGCATTGGTTTTAATGTTAGAGGTGAGTGTGGTGCAGCCATGGCGGCACATGGAGAAAAATATCCCATTAAGATAGCAGTACAAACTTGGTGTGTGCATGTTTATGTGCATGCAGATCTGAGCCCAAATAAACCAAGAAGTTGAAAGGGGAACTCCACCAATTTCTCAAAAATTCTGCCTAATTAAAGGGAGATGTAAGTGGTCATGCAGAGTGGTTTGGTATGAAATGCTCCATTCTAGAGAGATTTGCTGAGTCAGAATTGTTCACAGTGGTGGTGACAGGAATTAGACAACCATCTCTAAAAGTTTTGGCTTAAAATCTATTTTAACCCATTTATTTGAATTCATTCATGGCAGTGGGGTACATGCAGGACGTTGTTAGGCACAAATAGTCCCCAAAGAAAAGTTATTTCTTTTTTTAGATTTATGACTATTTTACCATCTTCAACATTACATATAAAACTCAGAAGCAACGTGTAGGTCCTCTGGTGGTTTGGATCGTAAATAAAACGGCTGTATGTATGTTGTAGAGACCGTGACCCCTTGTTCCCATCACCACCACTGCAAAGAAATCAGAGGTTTCGCTACGATGAACCACTTCACATCAGCCCACTCTGAATGAATCTGTTTACTGAATTGTTCAGAAATTTTGAAACATTGGTGGAATCTCCCTTTAACACCGATACAGTAGAACCATACGCTTCCTCTTCACCACAACACGACTCAACGTGACTCACGGTCCAAAGTCACATGACAGGCGACGGACTGATCTCACAAAAACAGAAACCTGAATAAACACCCTCAACATCCAGCCTAGAGAAGCCAAAACCCCCCGAGAAGTGGGCTGAGCTCATCTGCGGGGCTCTCCACCCTCACCGAGCCTGGCGAGACTTTACCGCGTCGGAGATTCAAAGGCACGAGGGGAGGGAGAAAGAGGAGGAGGAGGAGAAAAGGAGGAAGGTGGCGGGGGGCCAGAGAGATGGAAAAGAGCGAGGGGCTCGACGTTTTTCGTCCTCTCTTGGCTAATGCCTGGACTTAGCCAAGAGCTCGGAGATCGTGCCTGGCCTGGAGCTACCAGATCGTGCCTTTTCCTCCTCTTTCTCCTCTCCAGCGATGCGCGCTGAACGTTTGCGGCTCCTCTAGCTCTTCTGAACGGCAGCAGCAGCGATGTGGTGCATCAACTGCGCGTCCGATAAGACTCCTGCCATCCTCCACAACAAGCTCGTGTACTGGTAAGACACGACGCTGCCCTCGGTTCTCGCTCCTGTGACGTTGTGCCGTTTACTGAGTGTTGTAGTTGGCTGGGCTGGTCAGGAAAACGGCTCGACGAACTCATTCTAATCAAGTGAAGGATCGTTCAGCTGAATTCCTGATGTTTAATTAGCACCTGCAGTGTGGATTGAACTCTTACGGTGGTCGGTTGAGTGTAGTTGGAGTTTTTTTTTCCTGCCCAAATGCAGAAGTGCTATGGTAGCATTTAGTAGAGGGCAGTGACTGTGGTGCTGGTGTAGCACGTTGCAAATCAAAGGAAAGAAACAGTGGGAGCAGGTCTTGTGCATCGCCCAGCCCACTGGAACTGAGTCCAGCAGAGAATGGGATGATGCTTATGGGCAGGTGGCCAGCAGTTCTGTGAGATCATATTCTTTAGAAGACTGTGGTGCTGTTACCGAGGGAGGCGGCTCATGTGGAGTGGCCATGCTAGATTGATTTTGCCTGGAGAATTGTTGGGTGGTCATCATTGAATATGCACTGGCAGCATAGGTGAATCTGTAGGGAGCTGACCAGAGAGTCCAGCCGCTTTCTAAAAATTCTCTGTTGGACTCTGTTGTCTCTGTTGAGTGCGTGGAGTGACCTCAGATGCTTTTTTTTTTGCTAGAAGAACTGGGGTAACGGTCATCGTATGCTCTTTCCCTAGTGAATCCATGCAGTGAAAGCTTGACTAAATGTGTGTTTAGAGCTGGATGATGTGGCAAAAATGTAATATCACATATATCATATATTTTTCTGACATCTGATAAAAATAAAAAATGTGATCAAAAACTATTGATGCAGTGATTTATGTTCAGCATTTCACATACTGCTGCTATAAATCCAGTAAAACAGGACTAATTCTGCTCTCATTGTAATCAAACGTGTAGTGGTCAGTGTTCTTTAAGTACAGCCCATGTCCACAATATGCTCAGAAAAGCATACAGTAACATATTGTGCTGTAATTGATAATGATAGTGATGAATATTGTCTAATTGCCCAGCCCTGTGTCTAATGATCATGCACGGCTGACCAGAGAAAGCTAGCAGTTCTGGTAAGTGAATTCTTGGCTGTTTCTCTGGTCAGCTGCTGGACTCTGGTGCTGCTGTTGAGGGAAATGCTGAATCCATGTCTCACTGGATAGGATTTACCTGATTGAACTGTAAAATGGTCATCATCTCCTCTTGCCCTGGTGAATCCATCCGGTGGAAGCATGACTAAATGTTGAGTAATAGTCATACACAGCTGACCAGAGAAAGCAGTTCTGGTAAGTGAATTCTTTGCTGTTTCTCTGGTCAGCTGCTGGACTCTGGTGCTGCTATTGAGGGAAATAGGTTGTGCCGAATCCATGGAAGAGATTTACCTGATTGAACTGTAGAATGGTCATCATCTCCTCTTGCCCTGGTGAATCCATCCAGTGGAAGCATGACCAAATATTGAGTACTAGTCATGCACAGCTGACCTGAGAAGGCCAGCTCTTCTTGTAAGAGAGCTCTTGGCTTTTTCTGATCAGCTGCCCATAGCCATCATACTGGCTGATGGACTTCGATGTTGTTATTGAGGAAGATGGAGTGTGTTGAGTGACCACATTTGGACGATGTCCTGCACTGGATTGGTTTGTCCTGGAAGAGGCGTAGAAGTGATCTCCTTTAGCGGTGGTGAGTAGTGTAAATGCATAGCTGGCCAAAGAAAGCCAGCGCTTCTATTATTCTCAGCAGAATATGATGTTTGTGTTGATGGACATGGGATGTGTGGGATGACCTCTTAAATAGGCTCCGGCGTTTTGCTTGAAGAACTGTAGAGTCATGTGTTATCATCTGGTGAATCCATCCAGTGGAAGCATGACTAAATGCTGTGTAATGCTTATGCACAGCTGACCGGAGAAAGCCCGCAGTCCTGTTCTTGGTTTTCTCTGGCCAGCTGCCTGCAATCATCATAGGCTACCCTCTGCTGGACTCTGCTTCTGTTGAGGGAGATGTTGTGGAGTGGCTGTATCCTTCCTGGAAGAGCTCTAAAGTGGTCATCACCTCCTTTTCCTGTTGAATCTTTACAGAGGAAGCATGACTGACCACAGAAAGCAGCAGTGCTCATACACTCTGCTGTACTGTTATTAAGGGAGATGTCTTGTGTAGAGTGGCCTCACTTATGCTGCGTCCTACACTGGACGTTTTTGCTTAAGGAGCTGCAGGGTCATGGGTCATGATCTCCCTGTGCCCTGGTGAATCTGTGCAGTACAAGCGTGAGTGAATCTTGAGTAATGATTGAATCATACCGGATCCCTTTTGGGCAGTGAAGTGGCTGCGTGTTTAGCGCTAGGCTAATGTATGTCTGCCTGTTGGCCATCTGTGCTGTTCTGTGATCTATGATGAAGAACTTTGGTGGCACATGATGTAATGCAGTTGAGAAACACGTGACGTTTGCTGATGCATCATGTCCACTCGCTGTGCTGTTTTGTGGTGCTGTCTCTTTTCATTTAGCGTTTTAGGGCTGCACAGACTGACAGTAAAGACGCAAAATAACACGCAATATAGGAGCATTTCTGGCCCTCTCGCTCTCTTATACTTCTTCTGTTTTCTTACTACCGCTCTCTCTCTGTCTGTCTCTCTATCTGTCTCTCTCTCACTTATACTTCGCCTGTTTCGCTCTCTCTCTGTCTCTCTCTCACCTCCTCTCTTACACTTCGTCTGTTTCTATTTCTCTTATACTTCCTGTCTCTCTCTCTCACTTTTTTATACTCCTGTTTCTCTCTCTTTTTCGCTCTTTTTCGTACTTCCTGTCTTTCTCTTTCTCTTTATACTTCCTCTGTTTTTCTCTCTCTCATGTTCTCATACTTTCTGTGTTGTCTCTCACTCCAAATTTTGTCTTTCTCATACTTCCTGATTTTTCTCTTTCTCTCATGCTTCCTTTTTGTTTTATCTTTTATACTCACTGTATATTTCTCCCTCTCTCTCTCTCCCTGGCAGGGGGTCCACTGAATCTGCTAAAGTCTTTTCATGTGAATTTTGGGATCAAACGGCAGACAATGTTTCATTTCTTTTTTTTACAGGCCCCTGTGAATTATAGCAATGTCAGAGAGGAGAGAAAGAGAGAGAGAGAGAGGCAGACTGCTCTCCTGCCAAGTTATGTTTCAGGCATCTGAGGTCCAACTTATCATCTCACGCTCCAGAAGTGCATCATGCAACAACTTTAATGATTTATAATGGAAAGTGTCATATTCATAACGCGCTCTTCCACACTGCAGTTATGTTAGAGATTTGCTGTGACTGTAAAAAGAATGAGTGTGTATAAATAGACTTACATTCACAATGGCAAAAGCCTGGCTTGTGACTTTTCAGATCCCTTCTTTCCTTTTGTGCAGAGACATTAGCTTGTGAGTCTTTGGGCTGTGTACACCTTGCATAAACGTGCTTTTTTTGGTGATCAGATCATGTTTGGATTTCACCTGACCACATGAAAAGCCAGATGTAAACACTGCCCAGGTCAGAGACTTGAGCACATTTAACGCGAATGCGTTTTTGTTATCCATGTACAGTTATGTGAACGGAAACGCGGCTGCTGAGAACTGACTAGCATGTGAGGAAATGGGAAAAGGACGATACAGGAGGCCGGAATTAGCCCTAAATCAAGAGAGTTCATGCTCTCCAGGTCGATGAAAGTGTCCAGGCCATGTTTGTCCACTCTTATAGTAACAGGGAAAAGAGTAAACAAAAGTATAATGGAAATGTGTTGGTGTGCTTCTTACACAGGAAGAGTACAATTGGATCTCATTTAGTTACGCTGGGGACACATATTAGTGAAAAGTGTAACCGGAATCTGGCCACAGTTTATCCAGATACAATCCAAAAACGAAACACAGGTTAATGCAAAGTGTAAACAGGCTCTTTGAGGTTGTGTGTGTGTGTAAAGCTGCTGAAATACCACCTTGTATTGATTCTTCCCAGTGATTGCCCAGGTTTTGAATCTGAGTCAGAAAGCATGACTATCTTCTTTGTAGAACGTCCACTATTAAAAAGGAACTCCACTGATTTTCATCACGGGTTTGATGTGAAATGTGCCATTATAGAGAAACTTACTGAGTCAGAATGTTTTGAACCAGATGTCTGAAGCGTTTAATGCCTCTAAAAGCTCCCTCACAGAGTTACTACATGAAATGGTTATGAATAGGCTGCCTGAAGCCTGAGACATTGTTTTACAGTAGTTTTGGCCTATAGTGTATTTTTTAAAACATATTCATGGCAGAGAGGTATATGTAGGGGGTTGTAAGGCAAAATAGCCCCCAAAGAAAACTTATTTTTTTAGGTTTAATGCCATTTTACGATCATCAGAAGGCATGGGTAGGTTCACTGGTCATTTTGGATAGTAAATAAAATCTGTATTGTACATCCCATTGTGACCCCTGTTTCCCATCACCACCACTGCAGAGAAATCTGAGTCAGTATTTTCTCTACAATGAACCATTTCAAATCAAATCACTTTGAATGATGCTGTTTACATTTCCGTGATTGAATTATGCAGGAAATTTGAAAGATCAGTGCCGTTCCTCTGTAAGCTTCATTATTACCACTTTCCTGCTTGCTCTGTTATGTGTTACTTTTCTGTTAGAGTAGGTTGTAATGTGATGCCGTTTAGATCTACAGTGTCCTGCAGTGTTGAAACACTACCCCAACATGTTTAGTCCTTTTACAAATGGAGCTAAGAAGTGAGAACTGAAGGAAGTCATCACCCAAAAAGTCTTTGGAAAAAGTAAGGGCACAGATTAATTGTACAGTGAACGGTAGTCAAATGTTCAGATCAAAAATCAAATTTACACGTTTTTGCATAATCAGTCAGTCTAGACATGTTGTTTAAAGTTTGATTCTAAAAAATGAACAAGAGTACATGACATAGCTCAAAACAGGTTACTTGAAGAGGAATGGCACTCATTTTTCAGCGTGTCTACATACTTCAGTTGTTGAAATGTAATCAAAATCATTCAGAGTGGTTT